TCTTGACGACCTAATATTTAGTCACTTAGCGAGTTATTCAGACAGTGAGTCAGTTAATCTGTGAGTTTGTCAGTCATTTAGTGAATACTTTACTGTATTATCAATCGATTTCTTAGTGTATTATTCAGTAGGTTTGAGATATGTTCTACATACGAGAGGAAATGCAACAAGCAAGTTAGCATTTAAGTTTTATTTATGAGATTGAACTATCAATGAACGTAGCTGGTAGAACGCAGTTGAAGAAACAAAACACTTTATGTTATGTGGACTGGATCTTGCACTATTTTTACAGAATAATAAAAAATAACCCGTCCAACCACAGCAACGTTACAACAATGCAATATATTACAAAGCTATTTGCAATGCTCTCCATGACATTAGTATTGATTTGCATAGAAGATAACTGCATAATTAACCTTACTAAGACATATCTGAAAAAAATCTGGCTCCCACAGAATTCCCAATACGGAAGCAATAGTCTTTTTCTTTAATTTAACTGTCATTTATTAGTAGGAACTGTTGCACCTTTAAATCACATTCACCTACTTGTAACACGCGTATTACAGTGTAGCAGTAAAATAAAAGACCAATTAGTAAATTTGAAAATTGTAGAATGGTTTATGTATCTAAACACTAATTTGTATTAACCTTAACTTTTATGTTGAAAGACGTAAATGAGCCTCATTTTTTTCTGGGAATCGTTACAATCGTATGCTACAGCTGTTTTGCATCTCATTTTACAATCTTACTTTTAAAAACTAAAAAGAAATAGAGAGAAAGTTAGTATTTAAATTTACTGCCATAAATAACGCTAAAAATAAGGTTTCGATACAGTGGGCAGAGTATAAATAGTCCAGTGTACTGCTTTGTCCTTAACTAAAAGCAAACAAAGATGTATATTCTGTAGGTTTAAAAGTTTATGATTTTTACAAGCAAATATACTTTACGAGATAAATTAACATTTTAGAATTGTTTATATAGTGAAAATTATGAATTTTTAACCTACAGATTATATATCTTTACCTATACACTCAACAGGGGAAGTTTGTTAAGAGATACGGTATAATCTACTTTAAAACGCATTTTTATAGATACTTTAAACTATTATAAGTTTTAGTTCCGTTAATTTTTGGATAATAAATTTGTGATGGTTTTTACGTAAACTATTTTTGCATATAATAATTTATATTTTCTTTTTTTTTTCAGACATTTATAGTTATTAGCAAAGGTAAAGACATTTTTCGGTTTAGTGCCCACAACGCTCTTTGGCTTCTCAGTCCTTTCAATCCCATCCGTCGTTCAGCCATCTATGTTCTCGTCCACCCAGTATTCAGCTTTGTCGTCATTGTTACCATCCTTGTCAACTGTGTTCTTATGACCATGCCTAACAATGAGAGCATTGAGCAGTACGAGTGAGTGTCATATATCGTTTGCGCTGTTTTGCTCAAACTTAAAAAGGGAAAGTTAACGATTTGTGTACCTCTTGACTATTCTAGAAAACGTCAAATAAAATTTTAAACCATTAAGAAAATTGCAAAAGCCTAATATATGTATACACTACATGTCATATAACGGTAAGAGATACATTTGTTGAAAAATAATTGTGGATATAAATACAATGTTATAAACCTTAACATTATTCAGGGCCGAACTTAGGAAAATGGGGACCCCAGGGAAAGGGTTCATATCAGGGACCGTTTTGGTACTTTATACTTTTTGTATGGTATGCTACTACCTATACGACTTACTTCACCCAAATTTCATAGATTTTTTTTTTTTTTTTGCAGAGATCTAAGTGTGGTAAAGAAAAAAGTAAACTAAAAACCAATATACAAAGTTATTAAAAAATTATAAGACTCAAATACAATGGCATTCATAGACTTGAAAAGTTTTAACCTATTTTAAAAAATGGATCAATTTTTGACTTATATTTTTCAATTTTCATCTCATTTTATTTTTAACTTCTTTTGGGCCCAGGGCAGCTGCCCTGTTTGCCCTTTCTTTAATTTCGCCCTCTCATTTTTTAGTGAAAGAATTAATAACTATGAAAGAAAGTTTTCTTATATTAATTACAGGCCATTAAGTAGATGCATTATTAACTTACATTAGAAACAGTTTATGGCTGGATTTGTTATTCAGAGACAATAAGCATTTCAAACACTATGCCAACAGTTTAAGAACATAAAGTTACCTGTGTTTTTTGAATAATAACATGCAACATGTATCAATTTTCTTGAAGAGATAGGGGTTCTTATTATAAATAAATAGTTTGAATACCCATCTGTTGGTATAGGTGAAATAAAATCTTGCTTGTAACAAAGGATAGGAAATCGTATTTCTATTTTTTTTCTTCTTAACATCACAAATATTAAAAGTGCAATAAGAATACATAAAGGTACCAATACTGAAAAAATATATGAAATTAGAGTGGGGTACACCCCCCTCCCCTCGATGACCTTCCTCATGTCATTCTGTATCACTGTGTCCAGTTTGGTGCTGATTGATCAAGAAGTATGGAAATGTATAAGGAACAGATACACACACACCGACATATTGATGTTTATTTATATAGATGTAACCAAAATGTTCAGTTACTAAAGTTAATGATAGTTTATTTCTTTTGGTAAACCATATATTTTTGTTTGTTCAATAATATTTTCATGAAAATACAATATTTTCATGAAAATACAATATTTTAAGACTTCTCATGCAAATTTTACAGTTATTTTTGTCTCTTTCAGGGTTATTTTCACAACAATATACACAATTGAATCATGCATCAAAATGTTAGCTCGTGGATTTATACTTGATAAGTTTACATATCTTCGAGATCCATGGAACTGGTTAGACTTTGTTGTTATATCCCTTGCGTAAGTATATCTAAAGATTTTTAACATACTCTGTAAACTTGCAGGATCAAAATCATAAGATAGAAAACCCGATAAACCTACATGTATAACACTTTCCTGTTTATTCTCACTTCACTTTAGAATATCTCTAGCATACCTTCCAAATTCCTTTGGTTAAATTATCAGGTTATTGTATATAAATGTCTGGTATTTTTATGATTAAAAATATATTTTCATATATATGTATAAGACAGAAATAAAATTTATAAAAATGACTTTTTATTCATGTCATGGTATTGATTTTTATCAATTTATACAGTATAGTGTTTAGAATATATTAGTTTAAGTACTGGACTATGGTGTGTTCTACTATAGACTTAATAAGCTTATTACACTTGAAATATTTGAATGGAATATTTTGTATAACTTAATGGTAACAGGGAAAACAGTGTTTAACTGAATATGATACCTCATAGTATAGAATGATAAAATAAACATTCTCAAACAAAAAATAAGAGGTGATAAATATAAGTATTTAATGTTCAAATGTTAATGGTAAGCCTCGTGGTCACATTGTTAGGTAAGATTTCTGTCCTTTCAGTAATACCAACTTCAAAGATCGACAGTATTTAGCATGATAAACAATTGACACTCACATTCTTAAACCCAGATAGCTAATCGGTTATAATATTTGTCCTGCTTATCTTCTCAAGGTAAACATAACTGTTACAACTAAAAGATCATAACTACATTTTAACTCTATGATTTTATGCTTTAAAGCACTAATAAGTTAATCATTCATTGACTGAAAATTAAATTGTATTGCTAAACTTTTATTTATGTGTGAAATAAATCTTTTATGGCTAATAGTAAACAACAGTTTCTGTGTGAATTTAAGTGCTGTAATTTCAAAGTAGTGTCAAAACTTACAGTTTAAGAATTACATTTGGAAAGCATTTCCTCTTCTTTTGTCTAGGTACATAACAATGGGAGTAGAACTTGGGAATCTCAGTGTTTTGAGAACGTTTCGTGTACTTCGAGCCTTGAAAACAGTAGCTATAATTCCAGGTACAGCAAAAGACTTTGAGTCTCAGCTTGAGAAGTAATATTTTTATTGTGTCTTCATTTTTAGGATTAACTAAAGGGACTTCGCATCACTGTTGTGCATTGCTGTACATTAAAATACTTTAAATGTCATTCAAATAAACTTTACTTACAAGCAAAAATACAACACTTTGTAAATGTTTCAAAAGTTGTTTGTTAATATGTAACAGTACCTCACCATTTCTAACACTATAAATTTTAATTAAGTCTAAGACTCTTTTTATAGGATTGTATTTATTTGTAATGAATTAGATGCAAAGTTGTCTGTTTGAGTATTGAACCCCTGTATATGCAGGATTTGAGATGCTAGTATGAGCTGTGAGTTCTGGGTTTAAGATCTTTCTGAGGGAGATTGCTTTTGACCTATTTCATATTGTTATAATTTCTTGAAAATCCTTATACATCATTTATGTAAGTAGTGACTTATAAATGACCCAAAAAATGGATACCTGTGAAACAAATACTGTTACTTATAGTCTTTACAGATATGCATATTATCTTCAACTTATTCTGGTACAAATCCTGGTTATTTATATGATTATTTTTAAGTAATTGACTTGTGCAGTTTACTTGCATCTTGAATAACAATTACACAAAATTTAACACACTAATCATATCAAATAATAATATTTAGCAAATTTAGTAAGTCTTAATATTACTTCCATACTGCATTTACTACATGTTTTTTTACTGTAAACTTTTGTACTTTACAGGTTTAAAAACCATTGTAGGTGCTGTGATAGAGTCTGTAAAAAACCTGAAAGACGTAATCATTTTGACTGTGTTTGCTCTTTCTATCTTTGCCTTGCTGGGATTACAGGTTTATATGGGTGTGCTTACCCAGAAGTGTATCTTACAGTGGCCCACAAATATCTCAGATTTGGAATATCAAAATCATGTTTCAAATGACAGTAAGTATTTATCTTTGTACGATATTTAAGAAACAAAATAGTTTTTAAAGTTATTTTGAATGTTAATATGTCAATTGTTCTTATAAGTTCATTAATGTATATTGAAACTAATCAAACAAATGTATATATATGTGTTTACATGTAAGATGGTTAGAAAGATTGTCAAATCTCTGTCTTCTGTAACCAGTAAAGAAAATATCTTTATTCATGTAAATTTTATCTACATTTATGTGCAAATATTTTGCAAGTAGTTAGTGAAACCCTTGTAAACTAGATGTAAAAAGTTCATAAACTTGTGTTAATCTTCTAGTTTAGTCAAGGGTTGTATACTACAACAGTTCTGTAAGACTTATATCTGCTTGGCTCTATTTCTGTGTCATGCATATATGGACTGAGGTCATACTCATTTTGAGGGTTGGTACAGAGAATTGTGCAATTTAGTATGAGGTTGATGTTTATCTCTCTCTTATATGTGTAATAAAAATTATCATTGACATGTGTAATCTGAGGATTATGGAACATTGCACTAGTGTCTTGGTCTGACTTAAAAGTGTAACATCATCATTATTCTTGCCATGGTCTTCATCTTGTATAGACATGATTCTGACTTGTTCCAAGAGCTAGGTGCAGTCAATAATGAATGCCCGGCATGACCAGGTGGTTAGGGCGCTTGACTCGCAATCTGCCGGTCGCGGGTTCGAATCCCCGTCCCCCTAACATGCTC